GTGCTGCATGTAGGCTCACAGAGGTAAAATAACTGGTTCAGAATCAAGTGATAGAGCTATGATTTAAATGCTCTATCTACAGAATCAGAGATGGTGGAATAGGATTGCATCTTTGAACTTTTTCTTGATTTACCTGATCACTTTCTGACAAAGGCATAAGCATACTGTTCAAAAAAATTTTTAATACTAATCACACTTATATCTAAATATGTGGCACTTTCCTTTCCCAAAGAGGAAATCTATGACAACTTTTATTCTCAAGGAGGAGAAATGGTCCTTACCCAGAAACACATTAACTTGGTGAGAGTCTGGCCTACTTCTGGCTGTGCAGTTTACAGCTCTCCACTGCCCTTTTCAAAACAGCCTTGTGCTTAGAGTTGAAAAAATAAAAAGTAACCTACAAAAGCACATCACTAAACTCCATGTGTTAGCACCCAAACTCTCCCCAATTTAAAGGTACCAGCACCAATGTCCAAGCAAATCAAGGTGTCTCATTTGTGGACACATGGATGACTGCAAAAATCGTTCTACCCATGAGAGTTGACCGGGGAACAGCGCCTCGCAGAATGATAGCAGAGTCTGCTTCCACTTCAGAGCTAAGTCCTCAACTGTGAACTTCAGAGTGTGGCAAGAGGCAAAGCGCAGGTGTAGGAGTCAAGAAGCCTTGGTTCTAATCCCATATTCAAAATATCTCCTAAAGTCACCACATTCTTTTATCTCATTCTCTGTCACCTTCAGTCAAGATCCTTTCTTTCCTCGCCCAGCCATATAAAGCCTCCTAAGCCTTTTCCTTTCTTTACTCTTGCCTTCCAAACACCATGCACCACAAAGACTCTAGAGAAAACCTTTTGAAAAGAAATGTAATCAGGTCTCTCCACATTTTTAAAATAAAACCTCCAATGTTTTCTGTTATGGTTTGGATCTAGAAATGCCCCTGGAAAAGTTTGTGTTTTGAAAGCAATGGTCCCCATTATAGCACGATTTAGAGGTTAAGCTTTTAGACCACGGTTAAATCATACAGGCTATAACCTCATCAGTGGATTAATTCACTTGATGGATTAATAATCTGAATGGACTACTAGGTGGTAACTGTAGGCAGGTGGAGGTAGATAGAAGAAGTTGGTCACAGGGGGCGTGGCATGGACTATATCTTGTCCTGGTTCCTCTGTCTCCCTCTCCCTCTGTTTGCTTCCTAGCTGTCATGAGCTGAAATGGCTTTCTTCCACCATGCCCTTGTGCCATGATGTTTTGTCTCACCTCAAGCACAGGGCAATGGAATCAGCCAAACAAGGCTTTCAAACTAGGAACCAGAATAAACTTTTCCTCTTTTAAGTTGTTCTAGTCCGGTATTTTGGTCACAGCAACTAACAACTAACACATCTTCTGAATGCATCCAGAGTACAACCCACACTTGCTTTTACGACA